GCGGGCCGTTTTCAAAATGTGGCTCTCGCCTTCGCGCCGTGCACATGTGTTTTAAACAGTTGCAAGAGTTTCACGGGTTGAGGGCGGTTCCTTTTCAACATGCGGCTCTCGCCTTAGCGCCGCGCTTATTCGTTGTAAACATTTGCAAGAGTTTCACGGATTCCCATGATCAGCGTACCAGAAATGGTGTTTAGGAACAATTCATGGTTATGCGGGCGCAACAGTTATGTGGATTCGCACGGTTGGAGTCCAAAATATGGCGTTCTGGCACGACTCCGGATCGTCAAGTCGCATTGGTCAGATTGATACGTGGCGTGGGATCCTGAGAATAATGGTTTGGCATGCTTCAGGATCTTCAAGCGGTTGTCTTCCAACGAGGCAGTTCCCTCAATGGAAATGAACCGTTGTGGGGGCCTATGAAGAGGGAGCTTGGAGGGATGGTTAATTCCAACATCGTTGATGACTCTTGGTTTTACACTGGTCCTCCTCCTCCTCCTCCTCCTCCTCCTCCCTGGCAGCCAGGCGTCCCCTGTGGCGCCCGGCTGTTTGCAGGGTGGCGCCCTTCCTTCTTACTTGCGTTGAATGGTCGGGGGGCCTCGTCTATCCTCCAGGAGTGGTACCCTTTCTTCTACCGTGCGGGGGTCGATACGGGTCCGACGCAGATTTGACGTGGGTTCGACGCAAATTCGACGTGGATTCGATGCGAATTAATTCGACGAGTGGATTCGACGCGGCGGATAGCAGCGCGACGGGTCAGACAGTGTCCCCCGAAGACGCAATTTGAGGTGCCCCGTTGCTCCACATACTGCGCTGGCTGGCGCTGGTGCCCAGCGAGAAGGTGTCTGCCCACCAAAGGTCGCTCGTGTTTTGAACAACGGAGCAGCCCTGGGCAAGAGCATGTACGCAGCTAGCTTGCGATGTGCTTCCGGTGGTGGTGATGGTGGAGATGATGATCTGATGATGTTGTGGTGGTAGCGATCATGATAGTGATGATTACCTAACAGCGAAGACTGATAGGTTTTAGGTTTCTAGTGGTGTCAAAAGAGCTCACAGATCACTCCACAGGGGGGTCCGGGCAGGTGTTGGGAGTTGCCGGGCGGCAGGGTGCCCCGCTCGTTTTTCACCAACAGTCACACACTTCGTGCTCTTCGAGTTCCCAGAACTCCATTCCCAGGCCACATTCTGAATAACCGGATGCAACAGTCACACACTTCGTGCTCTTCGAGATCCCAGAACGCCATTCCCGGGCCACATTTGAATAACCGGATGCAACAGTCACACACTTCGTGCTCTTCGAGTTCCCAGAACTCCATTCCCGGGCCACATTCTGGAGGGCCGGATGCAACAGTCACACACTTCGTGCTCTTCGAGTTCCCAGAACTCCATTCCCGGGCCACATTCTGGAGGGCCGGATGCAACAGTCACACACTTCGTGCTCTTCGAGTTCCCAGAACTCCATTCCCGGGCCACATTTTGGATGCCCGGAGCCAACTGTAGGCCACTTCGTGCTCTTCGATTTCCCAGAACTCCATTCCCGGGCCACATTTTGGATGCCCGGAGCCAACTGTAGGCCACTTCGTGCTCTTCGAGTTCCCAGAACTCCATTCCCGGGCCACATTTTGAATGCCCGTAGCCAACTGTAGGCAACTTCGTGCTCTTCGACTTCCCAGAACTCCCATTCCTGGGCCACATTTTCAGCAGGGGCAAGAGCACGACGAGGAGGTGGACGAGCAAGACCAGGAGGACGAGGACGAGCAGGAGCAGGACGAGGAGCAGGAGGAGCAGGAGAGGAAGGACGAGCAGGAGGAGGAGGAGGACGAGCAGGAGGAGGGGAGGAGAACCAGGAGGAGGAGGTACGACCAGGACAAGGAGGAGGAGAGGGAGGCGGCGGAGGAGGAGGGGAGGGGGTGGGACTACAGGAGGGGCGGAGGTGGAGGAGGAGGAGAGGAGGAGGAGGAGGAAGGGAGTAGGAGGAGGAGGATGGGAAGAGGAGGAGGAGGAGGAGGAGGGAGGAGGAGGAGGAGGAGGAGGAGGTACGAGGAGGAGGAGGAGGAGGGGGGGGGAGAGTCAGGAGGAGGAGAACGTAGGGGACCACCAGGAGGAGGAGGAGGCTGGAGGAGGAGGAGGAGGAGGTGGAGGAGGAGGAGGAGGAGGAGAGAGCACCAGGAGGAGGAGGACGAGCAAGACGAGGAGGACGAGAACGAGGACGACCAGGAGGAAGAGGAGGAGGAGGAGGAGGAGGAAGGAGAGGGAGGGGGAGGGTACTTCCAGGAGGAGGGGTAGGGGGAGGAGGAGGAGGGGCGGAGGAGGAGAGGGAGGAGGAGGACGCAGGAGGAGGAGGAGGAGGAGGAGGGACGAGCGAGGAGGAGGAGGAGGGGGGGGAGAGTACCAGGAGGAGGAGAACGCAGGACCACAGAGGCGGAGGAGGGGAGGAGGAGGAGGAGGAGGAGGAGGAGGAGGAGGAGGAGGAGAACACCAGGAGGAGGAGGACGAGCAAGACGAGGAGGACGAGAACGAGGACGACAGGAAGAGAGAGGAGGAGGAGGAGGAGGAGGAGGAGGAGGGGGAGGCTACCAGGAGGAGGAGGAGGGGAGGAGGAGGAGGAGGAGGAGGAGGAGGAGGAGGAAGAGGAGGAGGAGGACGAGGAGGAGGAGGAGGAGGAGGACGAGGAGGAGGAGGGGGGGGAGAGCACCAGGAGGAGGAGAACGAGGACCACCAGGAGGAGGAGGAGGAGGAGGAGGAGGAGGAGGAGGAGGAGGAGGAGAGGAGGAGGAGAGAGCACCAGGAGGAGGAGGACGAGCAAGACGAGGAGGACGAGAACGAGGACGAGCAGGAGGAAGAGGAGGAGGAGGAGGAGGAGGAGGAGGAGCAGGAGAAAGAGAAGGAGGATGAGAGGCTGTGACTGCGACTGCCGTTGCCGCTGCGACTGTCATCGCGAATGCGACTACGACTGCGAGAACAGCAGAATTCGACAACTGGATTTTCATCTGAATCTTAAGGGGAATGCTTTCAGATATGCTTCTACACATCGCTGTTAGGTTGCTTTGCCGGGATAATTATTTAATCGCTTCGCTCATTCCGCCGGCCCGTATTGTGCCATCGCAGGCGTTTGCTTGCGCGTTCGTGGCCTCTTGGAGCCTCGGTGGGGCCGTTTGGGGCCTCTTGGCGCCTCTTTTTAGGCCTCTTGGAGAACTCGGGAGGCCTCCAGGGGGCCTCCTGAGCTCTCGTGACGGTCTCTTGGGGGGCTTTCGGCGGGCTCTTGGCGGTATTTGTTGGTCCTCTTGGGGCCTGGGGCCTGACGTTGTTGGTCCTCTTGGGGCCTCACGGGAGCTTATTGGGGCGTCTTGGGGGTGTCTTGGAGAGTCTCTTGGGGCCTCTTTCGGGGTCCTGGGCGCCTTCTGGGGCGGAGGGCTCGATTTTTCAGTTCTCGGTTCCCTTCTTGAGCCCCTCTTGGGCCCGTCTTGGGGCCTCTTGGTCCGCCTTGGGCAGCACTTGGGCCGTCTGGGGGGCGCTCTTGGGCCGCTCCGGGGCCGTCTTGGGAGCCTCGTGGGCCGTCTTGGAGCAGTCTTGAAGGCCTCTTGGGCCCTCTTGGAGCGTCCGGAAGCGAAAAGGCCAGAACGCAAAAAAACATAGAAAAAACAAATGAAAATCAACGATTTTGGCAACTTGGGGCCCTCTTCGGAGGCCTCTTGGAAGGCCCTTGGAGCGTCTTGGAGGCCTCTTGGGCTGTCTTGGGGCCATCTGGGGCGTCTTCGGGCGATCTTTGGCCGTCTCGGGCCTCTCTTGGACCGTCTAGAAAGCTTCTCGGGGCCCTCTTGGACCGATCTGGAGCCCTCTTGGACTCCGAAACAGAAATCCGGCATCTCTGACCCGACCTTGCCGGGACCTTGCCGGGGACTTGCCGGGGACTTGCCGGGAACTTGCCGGTTTTTTTTTCGTCCGGGGACCCCCAGGGGCCGCCCCGCGCGCGCGAACTAGAAATACTGTTAACCAGGTACCGGAGATCTTAGCACGCCCTGGCCCGTTGGGCCGGCGAATTTGAAGGGGGCGAGGATGACGACTGGGTGGAGGCGAGAGATCGAAATATGAGGAATACGCATACTGACAGCATCAGCGCCAATAGCAGGGCGCACTTGCACGCAGTTAGGGCGAGGTCGGCGCAATCAGTCTGATGATGATGATGATGATGATGATGATGATGATGATGATGATGATGATGATGATGATGATGATGATGATGATGATGATGATGATGATGATGATGATGATGATGATGATGATGATGATGATGATGATGATGATGATGATGATGATGATGATGATGATGATGATGATGATGATGATGATGATGATGATGATGATGATGATGATGATGATGATGATGATGATGATGATGATGATGATGATGATGATGATGATGATGATGATGATGATGATGATGATGTGGTGGTGGTGGTGGTGGTGGTGGTGGTGGGTGGTGGTGGTGGTGGTGGTGGTGGTGATGATGATGATGATGATGATGATGATGATGATGATGATGCGGATGAGGTGAAGGGGGAGGGCTGATTCGTGATTCGCAATGTGGATGAGGGAGGAAGGATGCTGAGTCTAAGGGGTATTGCTACTTGGACCACCGCGGGGTTCGCTAGAAGGATTGGGGGGTCAAAGAAGATGCTAAAGTAGATGATGTATGGCCTGATCTCGCTCATACGCGGGTCGCAGTCGCCTTAGTTGCTTGTGGGGGTTAGCGAACTCCGAGAGTTGCCAGTTCCCACTCAGACAGGACTTTCACCCCTCCCCTACAGCCACTCACCTATATAAGCTCGGCGGCCAGGCCAGGTACAACTCACCTCAGCATCCGCATAGACCCCCCAATTCCCTTGGCACACTCCGCAGTGGTCCAAGCATGAGCACTCACGTCAGGGGCGGGCTCAGGAGAGAGTTGCCGAGAAAGCCTGACTGGGGAGGCGCATTTTCGAGACGGCCGCCCGGTCTGCCAGGAAACACAGCATCATGTCCGCGAGCCCCTCCACCGCGCAGACGGAAGAGAGATTGGCTCAGCTGAGGGACAACAAGATGACTTTGGCAGAGTTTGACGAGTTCTTCCGTCCCGCGCGCGCCCCCCCCCCTCCCCCCTCCTCATGCCACTCGTCGGTCGAAACAGGGATGCATCGGCGCTACGCATCGATGTGGAGCCCGATGCTCTCCACACCGACGTCGGCGATGTGTCGGTGTCTCTCGACGTCCTTCTGCGCTCCCTAGCCGTACCGCCCTTCTCGCCCTCGTCCTCCCGCCTCTACTTCCTCACCCTCGCTTCTCTTTGCTGAGATTCGACGTCGCGAACACCTGCAATTTCGTAATATTACATATAGCTTTGTTATGCAGGGAGTGGTCTGCTCAGGTGTATGCATTGACATTTGTAGGCGTATGCTCTTGTTTAGATGTGCATCGACACACATTGTAACCAGACAGCTGGAGCCCGAGACCCCATCGTTCTTTGGCATCTCTCCAGCAGCCGCGTTGATCAGTGAGGGCCCTCGGTCCCCGATTCCAGGGGAGCGCGCCCCGGGGACGCGAAACTGACGACGCTGCGACGACCGCATCTCCGGGTCACCCTCTCCCGCTCTCTCTCCCTGCCCCTGCCCCCGATTTTCAGGGAAGGGGCCCCGCCGGCGCGCGAGCGGATGCCCGCTTCCTTCTCGGGCGGGCCCGGCCCGGTTCCGTGCGGCCCCGCATCGGCGGCGGCGGGCACCGAGGGGCTGCGACGAAGGGCGTTCGCTGTTCGGGTCCTGCTGCGCGCGCCCAGGGCGTACGCGAGGGGGTATAGGGGGGCGGCCGTCTGAGGAGGAGGGGGGGCGCCTCCTGGATGGCGGGGGGGGGAGGGCCCCTCGGGAGCCCTTCCTGGCTTCTCGGCGGCCTCCTTAGAGGCCTGCGGGCCCTTCTGGGCAGACCCCTGCCGCCCGAGAGCCCCGAGCGCCTTCTCTGCAGGCCGGCCCCCTTGCGCCACCCCAGCGCGCGCGCCGCCAACAGTCCAATCCTCCCCTGCCGGGAGGAAGAGCTCACACCTCCAACACGTAGAAGAAACATGCGAGAGTTTTTCGCCGTCCTCGGCCACCTCATAGGGACCCTTGCCAGGCCCTGGGGACGCCGAAAGTTCGCTCAGGATGAGTAGCTGCACCCAGAGCAATGGTGGGGCTTCTGGGGGCCCCGTCTTCAAACGTCAACAATCTAGTTACTGGATCTGTGTGGGCAGGACGGAGCAGGAGGAGCAGGCAGAAGGAGAGGAGCACGGGGCGAAACAGGCGGGGGAGATGGAGACGGGAGGAGGAGTGTGAGGACCCTCGACCCTGGACCCTCGGGAAACGGAAAGCCCCCCTTCTAAGTTTCCCGTTCTGCTTCCGCCTCGGGCCCCGGAGGTCCCCGGGGCCCCTCCAGAAGCCTCGGCAGAGCCTCCTGGACACGGTCAGGTCCCAGCTCATCGATCCTCGAGGTCTGGGGGCAGAGCCGGGCAGTCCTCGGACCTCCCTGGACGTCCGAGTCGATGCAACGTGGATTGTCCATAGTCCGCTGGCCCCACAGGCCTCGACCCTCTGCCCAGGTGCCGTCCTGGATGGTTTTATGTTCACGGTCCGAGGTCCGGAGGAGGCAGAGGAGGAGGAGGAGGAGGAGCAGCAGCTGAGGAGGAGGAGGAGGAGGAGGAGGAGGAGCAGGAGGAGGAGGAGGAGGAGGAGGAGGAGGAGGAGGAGGAGGTACGGAGGAGGACAAGGACGAGGACGAGGACGACGACGACGACGCTGACACTGATGCTGACGCTGACGTCGGCGACGACGACGACGACGACGACGACGACGACGATGGCAGACGACGCCGACCCCGACGCCGACCCCGACGCCGACGCTCACTCCGACGCCGACGCTGACGCTGACGCCGACGCCGACGCCGACGCCGACGCCGCCTCCGCCGACGACGACGACGACGATGCCCACGCTGGAGAGGAGCAACAAGAACCGGCGGGACTGACGAAACATATTGCCTGGAGGTCCATGCCGCTCCGTTCTCACCAATCCTCCTCTGACCTTCCAGGGTGCTCAAGAATAGCCCTTCAGGCCTAGACACCTCTGGACTGTTTGGAGCCTCGGCTGGAACAGAAGTTCCACGGCCTTCGTGTCACCTCGTAGCCATCCTGGAACGTCAGGGTCCCTCATCCCTCGTCACCCCCGTCCCCTGGGAGGGCCCTTCCCCTCCTGACCTCATGGGAGGGCATGCTTCGTTTTCGAGGCGAAGGCGGCGCCGCGGACTTGCAGGCGGACGCTGCTCTCCTTCGCCTCCGCCGCCTGCGCGGCCTCCGCCACGCGCAGCGCTGGACCCCGTCAGGGCTGCAAGTCGCGCTGTCCACATCCGCGGCGCTGCGGCAGGCCGATGCCGACCGTGCTGTCTGGTGGGCAGCGCTGGCGGATCTGCGGCCGGACGGGGAGCTTCTGGAGCAGGCGGAGGCCTAACGGCATGCTGCCCAGGCGGCGGCGCGGTCCCGGCGCAGGCAAGGATGGCGCCGCGGGGCCCAGGAGAGTCTGGCCATCGGGCAGGGCCGCCTCTATCGATTGATCCGAGGCGGGTCGACGTTGGAGGCAGAGTTGGTGCCCGACCCAGCTGCTGGCGCGGCGGCTGGCAAAGGAGCTGGTCGCCAGAGATGGCTTTTACCGCTCCGCGGTGGCCCAGCGGCGCGCCTCCGCCACTTCGAAGGGCCTTCGCGTTGCAGGCCCCCCGTGTGTGCAGCTCTGCACCAGGCGGCGTCCGCGCTTCGTCCTCGTCCGAGCTGCTTGCAGCGCCATCCAGCTACCGCTGCGCGAATGGTTTGGCCGTAGAGAGTTGAGCCCCAAAAAAGTGCACTGTAGCAGCGGCATTCGGCGCCGGCGACTCCCAGCGTTCCCCGAGCGGTTGCCTTGGGCGGCGGAGCTGGTGCCCTGATGCCGCGGCGGAAGAAGCCTGGCTTAGACGGATGGGCTGTGAAGGAGCTGCGGCTGCTGCCTGCGGAGCTGCACGGGTGGATCGCCGAGCTGTTCGAAGATGTCGAGGCCCGTGGGCGCTGGCCGAGGGAACCGGAGTGAAGCCCAGGGATGGCGCGGACCCCATGGGCAGGCGCCTGATCAGGGTCCTGCTGTGGGCGGCAGGTGGGGCCCGCCTGCTCGCTGGCGCTTGAGGTGGGCAGGCGAGGAGGTCCAGAGAGGCGCGGAGCAGCTGGCGTGGGAGCTCGCGCTGGAGCTGGAAGCGGCGGAGGCGCTGTCCGAAACAATCGCCAGGGAGGCACTCGACTGGCGGAAGGCGAGCGACCACATCGACTTGGCTTCCTTGCTGGGCATCTTGGCGCGTGCCGGCGCCCCTCAATGGGTGACGGCCCCAGCCTTGAGCGCCTGCGCGGGATCCGAGTCAGGCACGCTATCGGAAGGCCTTGGGATACCGCTTGCGGGATGCTGCCCGGCTGCGCTCTGCCTGTCTTCTTCCCGGGCGTCTTCGCACTGCCGTGGCACCGGCGCGCGGGAGAGCTGGGCGATCGGCTCCGGCGGCGCATCATCTACGCGAACGAGTCCACGTTGTGGGCGCGGGGCGGTCGGGGCGAGGCTGGCGAGGTGGACTCGTCGACAGCGCAGTGGCCATCACTGCTCTCCGCACATGGCTGGCGGACGAGACCTCTCTGATCCCTGCTGGGCGCCAGTTCCGTCACCTCGGCGGTGGGCGCCGCCGTGGGTTGACGGGCATCTCGCTGTGCTGCCGGAGAGCGGTTTGCACGGATCCGGCCGCTCCCTTTGCAGTTCCGACATTTGCGCGTGCTGGGCGCCGCTGCCGGCACCTCGTCGGCCGACCTGCACGGTGCCTCGCGCGGCCGCCCGCCGGCGAAGGAACTGGCCGGGGTGCGAGCAGCGGCGCGGCAGGCCGTGCGTTGAGGCGGCTTGGGGCTGCCGCAGACTTGGTCTTTGGGGTCTCGAGCCCGACGTTTGGCGGGCCGCGGACGGAGCCCGAGCGGTTGGGCACGGCCGCGACGTTGGCCTTGTCGCCGCGGCCGCCAAGAGCTTTCCGCAGCTTGGGCTCGGCGCCGACGTAGAGCGTTGGACCAGCGTCCCGGCTTGCCCAAGCAGGTGGCGTCCAGCCGACCAACCGCTCCAGGCCACTCGCGCCGTGCTCCTCGAGGCCTGGGCGCGCCTGGAGGCGGCTGCCGTGCCGGGCAGGCGACCGGACATTCAGCCTGTCGCGCGTGGGATGGGCCGATGGGCGACCATGCGGCGGCTGGAGTCGGGGGCCCTAGCGTCGGACGCCGCCGGTGCCTTGCGCGCCGCTTTGTCTGGGAACGTCGTCATGGAATCGGTGGTGGCGAAGTGGGGCAATCCAGCCAGGTGCCCGCATTGCGGCGCCGCCTGCGAGGACCGCGAGCACCGCTTTTGGGCTTGCCCAGATTGGGGCGGCTTGCGCGGGGCGCCGACAGGGGCGCCGCTCTGGCGACGGCGTCGATTGCGCAGGGCGCGCTGCGCGCGCGGTTGCCGCCAGGTGTGGCGAACGCGGGCGCGCTGCAGACGGACGTCCGCCTTGCCGCCTTCGCCGAGAAGGTCGCCTGAGCCATGCCGCCTCTTCCGCAGATGCCCGCGCCGCCACTGCCGCTCAGGAGGGCTTGGACCAACAGGGCGCGCGGGCGACCACGGGGCCAGTTGATGGCCCGGGCGGGCTGGGGGCTGCGTCTGGAAGGGCCCTACTGCCTGGCCCAGGCGCGAGCGACTACAGCGGGCCGGTGGGCGCGGCGTAGACAGCGCAGCGGGCTGAGCTGACCGCCGCGGCCCAAGCGGTCAGCATGGCGGGGGCGTCCGTGGAGGTCATCGCCTGCTTCGTCCGCAATGGCGCGGCCGCTCTGCGCGTTGCGCCTGCCACCTGGAATCGGCGCGCTCCGATCTACGGGGGCGCGTCGCGGAGCGCAGCCGGAGCGGGCCCCTCGCGGCGCGTTGGATCAAAGCCCACGCGACGGCCGAGGAAGCGCTCGCCCGAGGGTGCCCGAAGAGGCCCGGGCGGCGGGCGGGCAACGCGGCGCGCGCGGACCCCGCGCCGCCACAGCCCGGCC